CGGCCAACACTAGAAAACTCCTGATCTCGGAGGGTGACCTCGGCACCTCCCAACTCATCACCGCCTCAACTTTGGCCGGGTCGACCAATATCCCTTCCTGGTTAACAAGATGTCCTAGGAACTGGACCTCTCGCAACCAGAAATCACACTTGGAGAATTTGGCATAAAGCCTCTCCGATCTCAGAACTCCGAGGATCTCCCTCAAATGCTCCTCATGCTGCTCTCTAGATCTCGAATATACCAAAATGTCATCAATGAATACAATCACCGACCGATCCAACATCGGCCTGCACACCCGGTTCATGAGATCCATGAACACTTCCGGGCATTGGTGAGTCCGAAAGGCATCACCACAAACTCATAATGCCCATAACGCGTCCTAAACGCTGTCTTCTGGACGTCCTCATCTCGCACCCTCACCTGATGGTATCCAGACCTCAAATCGATCTTGGAGAACCAAGATGCTCCCTGCAACTGGTCGAACAAATCGTCGATCCTCGGTAACGGGTAACGGTTCTTGACCGTCAGCTTGTTCAACTCCCGGTAATCAATGCACATCCGGTGTGAACCATCCTTCTTCTTGACAAACAGAATAGGCGCTCCCCACGGCGAGCTGCTCGGCCGAATAAACCCTTTCCCCAGCAGCTCCTTAAGCTGCGAGGATAACTCTTGCATCTCTGGAGGTGCAAGATGATAAGGCACCTTAGCGATAGGCGCGGCCCCCGGGACCAAATCGATACTGAACTCTACTTGCCTCACGGGAGGCACACCCGACAACTCCTTTGGAAAGACATCCGGGAACTCACGCACTATAGGAACCTCCTCCACCGACCTCGGCCTCTTGGAATCAACCCGCGTATCTGACACGTACGCCACAAAACCCTTACAGCCCTGCTGTAGACACTGCCTCACCCTAGCGGCCGAACAAAATGCTGATCCAGAACGGGTACCCTCGCCGTACACTGTAAGAACTCCCCCACTAGGGTCTCGTATGGTCACTAGCTGTCGCTCGCAGTCGATAACCGCACCGAACCTGCTCAACCAGTCCATGCCCACAATGACAGCATCCCCCATGGCAATAGGAACCAAATCAATCGGGAACTCAACACCGAAAATCTCGAGTACGCACCCACGGATCACCTCCGTGGCATATATCACCTTCTCGTCAGCTATGGAAACTCTCAGAGGCCGACTCAGCGCCTCGCGACTAACACTGATGTGCTGACTAAAAGCCAAAGATACAAAAGACCGACTCGCACCCGAGTCAAATAATACCAAGGCAGGTACAGAATTCACAAGAAAAGTACCTACGCATAACATAATATAAGCATAATATCTCAACATTACAATAAATACACGAAAGAATACATACCAGCCACGACATCGGGCGCTGCGCGGACCTCCTCCGCGGTCAACTGAAACGCTCTCCCACGTGCCCTCGGTGCCTCGGCCTTCACTGGCCGACTCTCGGTAGCTCTGATGGCGGCAGGGGCAGATCCCTGAAGTGCTCCCTGAGCTGATCCTCGCAACTGCGGACACTTCCGCCTTCCGGTGTCCGGTCTGGTTGCAGTGAAACACACTGCAAACCCCTTGGGGCAGTCCTTGGCCATATGCCCCTCCTTGCCACATTTGTAGCAAGATCCAGCTCTACATACTCCATCATGACCCTTGCCGCACTTTCCACAAGTGCGGCCCTTCTGGCTCCCTGATTTGGGATCAGCGGGCTTGGCCCGCTTGGCTGCCGGCTGGAATTGTGCCGGTCGCCGATCCTCCCCTGAGACTCAGCCTCCTCCCTAGCCTGAGTCTCCAGCTCGATCTCCCTCTTCCGGGCATTTTCCTGAAGCTCAGCAAATGTCCGGTATGAGGAGTTCGCCACGAACTCCCGAATGTCTCGCCTCAAGATACTCAAATACCGGCTCATACGTGCCTGCTCAGTGGACACGTGCTCAGGGCAGAACATCGCCCTCTCGTGAAACATCCTGGTAATCACCGTAACAGACTCAGTGCCCTGCTTGAGGGTCAGAAACTCCTGGGCCAAACGCTCCCTCTCCACCTGGGGAACGTACTCATCTCGGAACATGGCAGTGAACCTCTCCCAGGTCACTGCCGCAAGCTCAGCAGGCGAAAAGTGTGTTGTGACAAACTTCCACCAGTCCTTCGCTCCCAAGCGAAGCTGGTTCAGCGCGAACCGTACTCTCAAATGCTCAGGAGATGAGCAAGTGAAGAAACACCCCTCTATGTCAGAAATCCATCTCATAGCCGCCACCGGGTCCTGGGTCCCATCAAACTCTGGTGGTTTCGTGTTGCTGAACTCCCGGAACAGCAACGCATCACCACCCTGCGGCCTCGCAGCAGCAACAGCTGCGGTGGCCGCCGCAACAGCAGCCTCAGAAAGAGCAGCATAACGCTCGTCGAAAGTCTCAATCAGCGGTCTTAATAGACCCGAACATCTCTGGTATCTCTGCCCTGATGACCGCAGCCACCTCCTCGTGAATGATCTGACGGATCTCCTCATCACTAGCCCCGACGCCCTCCGGCATATGACGTGTCCTCACCATGATCAACCTCTGAAATACAACATATGATAAATTAGAATCCGCTCGAGCATACTCACACTCGACAACTCATCCCTCCTTGATCCTTGGCATTCCGAAGATTCTTACTTGGACCGTATACCGCCCCGGTGCTTTCAGTAGTACGGGCCCAATACTACTGTCCACACCGTTTCAGTATACACCCCAAATCCTCCTCTTCGGATCCCAATTTCCAAGTACTCTATCACTCTCTAACAGATCTCTCATAAGCTCCTCGCTGCTACCTATTCACTCTCAAGCATCTCATAGCAGCTCACCTCTCCCTAGGCTAAGGCATCACAAATCAGGGCACTCTAGTCCTAATAGGAATACCTAGCCTACTCTAGCAAGAGAATACATCATATCAATTTTCATAAACATATAATATAAGGGTATTTTGGGAAATCACCGTTCGGGCGCTGACTGATCGTACACACGTTTCTTCTCTGAATTTCTCTAAAAATCTTTTACTTTTTGGAAAATTTGGTTTTCTTTTGAAAATATTTTCCAAATCCTCAGTTTGAGTTCAAATACTCCCGAAGGTGTACCCGAATCCCTCAAACCAAGGCTCTGATACCAACTTGTAACACCGTAAATTTCAAAACAAAATTTTCAAATTTTATAAAACATAATTCACTTAATATTCATAAAACAACCATATTTGAACATTCAATCCAATAATACAAAATCCCAAGATCTCAAAATCATAAATCCCATGCGTGTGTACGATCAAGCCGGCGCCTTCCCACGGTCGTCACTAGTACCTGAAACAAATAACACCAAACACTGTAAGCACAAAGCTTAGTGAGTTCCCCAAAATACCACATATAACACATATTAGCCACTCGAGGCTATAACTCTGTGGGTCCGTGCACCCAAACTCTGTGAACCCTCAGGTTCTAACTCTGTAAACATGCACATCATAAATCACAAAGAATAATGCAGCACAACACATAACACAAATATAGCATACAAGCACTGTATCACATAACTCTAGTTACCTACTCAAGGTAAAGTATAGTGAGAAGACTCACCTCGGTGTCTCGGTAATTCGTAAATCCCTGAAAATCACTAGTGCTCGATCTCCCGAGCTATAGTCCTCCTATAACACAATACATCTCTAATTAACACTTTCCCAACTAAGGTTGACTATCCCTTAACAAGTCAACATAGGTCAACACTGGTCAATGGTCAATGGTCAACTTTGACCGGACTCGACGAGTGCACTATAACGACTCGGCGAGTCTAAGCGCATACACTGATTTCCCTGGAATCCTCACTTGACACGTCGAGTATTCTCCTAACTCGACGAGTTCCACCTGGCATGAGTTGTGGGGCCTCCACGACTCAACTCGCCGAGTCTCAAGAACAACTCGGCGAGTCCCAGCTTGACTCAGTCCACCTGTCAACCCACTCTGACTCTCCCTGACTCACTGAGTCAATCCCTCAACTCGGCAAGACCACTCGCTGAGTGGTGCTGGGCAATCTTCATGCTACTCGCCGAGTCTGTTCTTGGACTCGGCGAGTCCATGCCATGCAACGACTCAAACTCACTCCTGAGGTCAGATCTATTCCACTAACTCATAGATCCAGTCCTTCCAAGCTTATTTATCACGTAAAGTTGCTATCTTGATGTACATACAACATCTATATGACCATATATGATGATTTAGCCCCAAATACCACAACTCAAGGTCATAACCTCCATTGCTCTTCATAAAGCTTGATGAGTGAGGCTCTCTGGACCTCTATGGATCCAGATCCAAAGCCTTACCACTAGAAAAGGACTATTTGGGCATCAAATCAACCCAACAAAGGCCAAAAGAAACCCTAAATCCAAATATACTTCATAAAACAGAAGATGAGCTGAAATGATACCTCAAGTTCGATGATCTAAGCTTCAAATCCACAGTATAGCAACCTCCTTTGCTTCCTCTTGGCTAGGACCTCCTTCTTCTTGCTAAACAACACCACAAAGGTCAAGAATGGCTTCCTTTCTCTCTCAAAATGCTCAAGCACTCTAGGGTTTCTCTCTATGGATTGGTGAGCACAAATGACGCCATAAGGCCCTTTAAATAAGTCTCAAACCTTGGGAATTAGGGTTTCATTACACAGCATGGACTCACTAAGTCCGGACGCGAACTTGTGTCCCAAATCGCGATCCTACTCGGTGAGTTCGAGCTCCAACTCGCCGAGTCCACTCACAAATCTAAAAAAAACACCAATAATAAATACCTGGAAATTCCGGGCTGTTACACATACGTACACAATGTCCCCAAATCAATAAAAATTCAAATAAATGAAATTATTAAACCTCCAACATGTTCTCGTAGGCTTTTCTTAGATTGGTATGATACTAGTGAAAAAAATGTTGTTGGAGATGCTTCTAAAGAGGCTAATGTAGTGGACCTCACTGGAAATGACAATATGGAGTTAACTGTTATTGATAACGGGGATAATAACAAGGAAGAAAATCCATGTGCTGATTTTGAAATTGGGGTCAAAATTGACCACACAAATGAAGTTGAATTTGAGGATGGTAACAAGGATGGAAAAGATCAATGGGCTGAATTTGAAAGTGGGGACAAATTTGAGGACATAAATGAAGATGAATTTGGAAGCGGGGACAAATTTGGGGATGATAGTGGTTATGAATCTAGTGAGTCCGATGACATAGACTTTTTTGTTGAAAATGACAACATCTTAGATGATGTAGAAGTTGACATGAATGATTTCAATGATAACATTGATATGGATGCAGATTGGGTTGGAGGTAAGAATGGTAATGTGGTAGAAGAAGAGAATGAAGTTGGGGAGCTTAATGAAGTACTAAATAACGAGGTTCTTATGTCAGGCTCATCTTCGGATGAAGGACCAGTTGCCCAATGAAAGAAGACCATAAAAGCTATCCAAAGAGCTCACGAGAATGATGAAGCAAATGTTGCTGAACCATTTTATATCCTTCAAACCTTTAATACAGCCCAAGAGTTTAAAGAAAGAGTTAAACTCCATGCTATTGAGACAAGAAGGGAACTTGAATTTGAAAAAAATAACAAGAATAGGGTAAGAGTTGTGTGTAGGGGACAATACCAAAACTGGGAAACTTAGACAATAATGGGGAAGGTCAACAAGAAGTCAACAATGAAGATGAATAAAAATGCCCGTGGAGCTTCTATGCTAGTAAATGGAAATGTGACATAAACTGGATGGTCAAATCTTACAACAAAGAACACCGGTGTCTCCAAACGCGGAATGTTAAAGCTTGTACTTATAAGTTTCTCGCCAAACAAATTGCAAGTCAGGTGGAATCTAACCCAACTATTCCAATTAGTACTTTACAAGAACAACTACAACGTGATTACCAAGTGGGACTTTCCAAGATGAAGGTGTTTAGGGCTAGAACTGAAGCTCTCAATCAGGTGCGAGGGGATTATGTTGGTTAGTATGCTTTATTGAGAGATTATGTTCTAGAACTTTAAAAACATAACCCAGACACGACGGTGAAGATTGATGTAGAGAGTGAACCAAATCCAAATGCATAAACTAGAACTTTCAAGCGCATTTACATCTGTCTTGGTGCTTTAAAAAAGGGATTTGCTGCTGGAAGAAGAGACTTTCTTGGTCTCGATGGTGCTTTTATGAAGGGTCCATACCCAGGACAAATACTTTCAGCTGTGGTAACCTTTCTTCATATGAACTACATTTATATCCATTGAGTTATATTATAAAAATTTGTATTTTAGGTTAATTGTGAAATATCTACTTATGTAGGGAATTGATGGTAACAATGCAACATATCCATTGGATTATGCTGTTGTGGAATCTGAGAGTACCAACTCATGGAGTTGGTTTCTAACTTGTCTAGGGGATGATTTAGGTTTAGGAACCAACTCAAATTTTACATTTATGACAGACAGGAAAAAGGTATTAATTCGAAGTTGTTTACATTTACATTTAATACATTATATATGGTATACTTTTAATACATATTTTCCATGTATAGGGAGTGTTACCTGCTATAGCCAAGTTGTTTCCATGCGCTAAGCATCGTTATTGTCTTCGTCATATCCATGAAAACATGAAAGCTAGTTGGAGGGGAAAGCAATTCAAAGACCTGCTATGGGATTGTGCAAAAGCATCTACTGTTCAACAGTTTCAACGATCAATGGAGGAAGTAAGAAAACTTAATAATGATGCGTATGAGTGGCTTAAAAACATTCCTCCTCAACATTGGTCTCGTTCACACTTTACAGGTAGATTTTAATGTTAGATCATTAGTTTGTAACAAAGACTGATGCATTATTATTGATTTATCAGGTAGAGCTCATACAGATGCTATGCTTAACAATATGTGTGAATATCTGAATAGCAAGATTGTTGAAGGTCGTGATGTACCAATCATTACATGTTTGGAGTACATTAGAGAGTACTTAATGAAGAAAGTTGTAACTGTTCAAAAGGAAATTGATAAAGCTACATGCCCCTTGACTCCCACAGCTACCATATGGGTTGGAAAATTGAAGAAAGAGGCTACACAATTAAGGTCTGTTTTCTATGGTAATGGGAAATATCAAGTCAGTAAAAATCTTATGGAACAGTTCGTGGTAGATATGGGCCAACAGACATGTTCATGTAGAAGGTGGGAACTAATAGGGATACCATGTGCACATGCAATAGCAACTATGTGGGAGATGTTGAAGAACAAAGAGATTGATAAGATACCAGAAGATTGGGTGAATCGAACATATTGGTTAGAAACATGGAAGAATATGTACTCTTTTACAATTCAGCCAATCAATGGAAGGAACATGTGGGAGAAGTCTACATTCCCTACAACCTTACTCCCTCCAAAACACCATGTGCCCATTGGAAGACCAAAGAAAAAAAGAAGGAGATCTACCATGGAGGTTGAGGATTTGGTGAAAGGTAACCAATTGTCAAGAGCACAAATGTCAGTGACATGTTCTAAGTGTAACAAAAGTGGTCATAATGCAAGGACTTGCAAGGGACAGAAGGCTGGTGGTGCTGGAAGTGCTAAAGTGAAGGCTGGTGGATCACAAACTTTAAGGAATGTTGGTGGTGCTAGAAGTGCAAAAGTGAAGGATGGAATTGCGAATGTGAAGGCTGGTGGTGCTGGATGTGCAAAAGTGAAGGATGGAAGTGCAAAAGTGAAGGCTGGTGGTGCTGGAAGTGCAAAAGTGAAGGCAGGTGTTAGCAAAAAAGGGAAAGGTGTCCCATAAATGTGGCTTTTAGGTGCTTATGTATTGTTTTGGTTGATGTTGACAAACATAGTCTTAATTTGAACTAGGTTATATGTTGTCATGGTTGTGTTGATTGCTTTTGAAAAACAATGTTGTAATTATAGTATCTAGTTTTAGCAATGTACTTTGCCTTTGACAAACAATGTAATCTTTTGATTGCTTTTGGCATTGCTTTTATTTTGGTCACCTATTTTGCTCATTTTTTTTACAAACAATGTAATCTTGTGATTTCTTTTAACATTGTAGTTTTACATGGATGGTCCCAGTATACCTCACAAATTGTAAAATACAATGAAGTTCAACAAAATATCATTTTCATTGATAAAAGGGTATACCAATAAGATTCATTACAATGCATTGATACAAGGGTACCATTGATACAAATAACATTCATTACAAAGCATTATAAACAACAACAACTACATCAATTGATCTTAAACCTAACACTACAACTTGTAAACAATTATCCCAAAAAACAAAACCCAACTGATTATTAACAATGTCTTCAGATTCCGATTTTGGACCTCAAGTTCTTGAATTCGGACTTCAATCCCCTCATTTTTTATCTCCGCCTCATCACCATGCTTTTCATCATCTACCCACTTAATAAAGCCAGACCTTGGTCCCTGTACTGTCAATGGCTTCGATTAGCACATACACATACTAGGGTTAAAATAGAAAATCCCCCAAAACAATACAAGGTCATACCTCTAATAGGCAAGCATAAAATGCCCTACCTGGGTTTCTTTTCGTAGTTGAAGTTCGTATAACGCATATCGCACCACAATTGCATTTCACCATTTTTAATCGGCTGTGACAAGAAAGGTGGGAGGAGAACACTGCGATTGAGAAAGAAATGACGGAGGAAGACGAATAAACCATATTTAAAGACTGGGTGATATGAAAAGACAAAAGTACCCCCAACGTGCTTTTCACGTGGGGGGTTTCTAACCACAAAACAGACGGAATGTTAAATGAGGGACCATGTGGGTTACGAATTTTAACATTAGGGATCACCCGAGTTAAAAATCTTGCTCAGGGACTAGGCGTGCAGGTTACCCCAAACCACAGGGACCATCCGTGTAATTTACCCAAAACATAATTCTTTACCTCTTTATACCATTTCACATTTGTGTTAATAAATGTATGCATATGATACACTTTCTTTACATACCTCCCACAAAAGCTTCATTGGTGTTGAGATTAGTGTTGTTAGCATTCGCACTGTTGTGTGGTATTTATATATGTTCTGTTTGTTTAAAACAAATGAGCCTTAAAAAACAATTTTTTATTCTTTGATCACTTCGAGAGGCAAAAGAACAAGATTCTTACAGGTTATATTTTTTAATCGTATTTTGTATTTTTTGGGGATTTAGGAGGTGAACTTTTTGTATAATATTATGTTTGCAGTTCAAGCTGAGTATCTTGCTAAGGTTAAAGGAAAAGGCTCTGGTGTTTCCATTAGGTATAGTGGTTAAAACTATGTACTTTATATTTTATTTGATACAACATAAACATTATCCTAGCATTTTTTTGCTTCTCCATAGGGATGGACAAGATTCTACTAAGACAATTGATTTGGTAAGTAAGTCTGGGAGTTCTCAAGGTGGGAAATAATATTTATGGTTAAAACATTTTTTTCTATTCCTTTGTTTTAAATTTTATATATCATCTGTGACTAATACTATTGTATCCTTTAAAGGATGGATGAGCATCATCAGAGCCTGGAGGTGGAGGTGGAAGGTGGAATACTGGAGGCCAAGTTACTGAAAGGTTATTTTCATTCTCAATCTTTATGATAACCTGTTGTTCATTTAGAAATTACTTGCTGATATACTTTCCGTTTTAGCATTTGAATGTAATGTTGGTTATTTTGGTTTATGACATATGATTTTCATTTCTTGAATTTGTCAAGATATGTTGCATTTTAATGCTATTTCAGTTAAATAGGGAAGGAATGAGCAAGAAAAAAAGGTAACAACTATGATTTTTAATTGAAATTACGTAAATAATCTAACAGTTTTCTTATGTTTGTTACAGATTCGTTGATGGGTTTTATTTATTTATTTACTTATTTTTATTTTACACATCGGACTTTGAGATTTTTGGATTGTGTTTGATTGAAAAGCTGATATATGGGTTATGGTTAACATCGAAACCACTTATTGCCATGACGTTAAGATTTACTTATTATTTATCATTCTCCTTCTAAACATTAATTCATAAGCCGACGAACAATTGTTGAAACCCGTGGAGTACAAGAAGATGATCTCTTCATTTAAACCAGACTTAAGTTATAAATAAGATATTTGAAACATAGTTGCACTCTAATGATATGTTTACTAATATCTATTTGGGATGAAGTTACAGAAATAAATCAAATTATACTCCTATATACTACTTCATTCTTTGAAAAATGTACCATTTATTGCAATATAATCCAAATACAGATTAATTTTCATAGTTGTAATCGAGTAAAATTCTCAAGGTATGGCGTCTGGATGATATATTCGTTGTTGATGTTCTCATGCATGCTATCTTATGTCATGCTCTATTTTTTTTTGACTTTTCAACTCAGGGATAAAAGTTTGCCTCTTGAAGCCAATGTTTATAGTTGCTGGAAGAATTCACAAAGGCACAACAATATTTTTGTTGAAACCAAGTGGAGAAAATGTTTTTACTGACCCACGCAGAGAATAGAAATGATTTGGGGCTGGGATTTTTTTTTTGAGAAGTTGACTTATTCAAAAAGTTAGAGAAGGATAAAGTGTTAAGCAAGGATAAAGTGAGAGAGGGACATTTTTTTAGAAGTTGACTTTGAAGAAAGTGTTTTAAGTATGAATGGTGAAAATTAAGTATGAAGAAAGTGTCAAACTATAATACGCGTTAAATATTATTACAAACTAATGAATTACAATATTGCCCTTGTAGGAAAGTGAATGAGAAGAAACGTAAGCATGAGATGCTGAAATAGAGCAAGATTTGCCTTATTCGACTAGTAATACATCGTATATCATGGCAAAAGCTTTCAACAACGTCAAACTAAAAGTCAATATACTATTTACAAACCACCACCACCACCCACAACAACCACACTACCGATGTAATATGAAATAAGAAAACAAATTCTATTAGAACATTATAGTTTTGATCCATTTTCATGTCTTTATGTTTGATTTCCTTCATCGATGATTTATTTGTGCCACACTTATATAGTAGAGCATTCAACAAAAGCAGCATATCACAGACTCCGTAAAAGAATTAGTGACCAAAAGAACTTTGTATACTTATAAACCAACATATCACAAATCCGGACCCTACAAAGTGGGGTCACTCATCTAGTTTTTGTATGAAAATAGTTTGTATCCGTTTTACTTGATAAAAATGTTTTATACTTCCAGAAAATCCTATATTTTCCATAAAAGTGAATTGTATGTTTGTTTCCAAAAACCATGAATATTTGTATGCACGTTCCTTTGAATCATGTGAATGTATGTTCCCAGAAAATCCCATATTTTCTGATTGTATGAAATTGTAGTCTTAATCCCTAAGACGGGATTAGTGTCAATAGACGGAAATGGTGCCTAGTTTTATAATATATAAAACTAGTGAAGTGTAAGTTTTTCGTAAATCAAGATAATATTGTTAATCCCTATGTGAGTCATTATGAGCATGCTTGATGTGACTGTTATGCTTGTCATGATGTTCTTTAGACGTCGGATCCGGTAAGATATTTGCCACCCTAGACTGGCCCTGTCTAGCTGTAGCGAACAACTCAGGTGTTGGGGTGTCTATCCCAGTATAGATCTATACACAATTATATCGCTTTCCCTCCAGAAGACTCTGGTTATAACTATAGAACTTAGAGTTTAAGCTAGGTAGGTACGTTGAAGATAGTGTCTCACTAGAGCATTAACGGATTTACACAAATTTCGAATCTCTTTATTGTATAATGAAATAATTTTACTAGTGTAAATTCGTGACAGATGCTTTATGACATGCATTTTACAGATTATGATTATATGCTTTTTATGACACGCGATTTACAAATTTCATGATACACAACTTATGACTTATGTAGTGTGAGTTTTATGACAGACAGTTTATGACGTGCACGTTTTTCTGTCATAAAATTGTTTTGTATATGATTTCAGGTAAACTGTTTACAACATATTATATAAATAGACTTTAGTGAATATGTCTAGTTGTAACATATGTTGCAAAGATAGCATATTATCTTGGGTTATAAACCATCAAAACTGATGACAACAAGTTTACGACTATTTTACTAATAATATTATTTTTAGTAAAATATCAAACTTAGTGTTTACGTTTAATATCCTTTTTACTGGTTTTTACAAGTTTATAACACCGAATATGTTGTTTAAGTTTAACTCAAATATGTCACGACTTTTGTAACACCATAATTGATAAACAAAATATTTTATCCAAATATTAGAGTAGATTCTTAAAAACGGGAGTATGTATCTATACAAAAGTAAACATGCATGGATATATACATACTATGATTTCGAAAAGTTTGAGTGACCAACCGATGTCCACAAATTTTTATATAACAAATATGTTAATGAACATGGTCATCATGATTTATGAAGTTACATATGATAAATACCTTTTTACACAAGTATTTCAACACATAACTATGAAGCATGCAATTATCCAAAGGATAAATTTAATCTAGCAAACATGAGGCTTGTAATCTCGAGCATATGGTGCATCAACATGAGATATTCAACATTATAAGCTTAAGTTGTTAAATAAACATGTAAGTGCATGCAAATATCCAATAGTTAAACGAAACTTGACATGTATTCCCCCCCCCTCAAAAAGTATGAAAAACATGAAAATAGTGGGGTATGAAGCTCACCTTGATTTCATGAGTTGAAGGGAGAAAATGATGAAGATTTTTAAGCCTATCCTTGCACAACTTGAGGAGCTTCTTGAAAATTATGGTTTCC